CGATGCCACCAACGACGGTTCCAGCGCCGCAACCGGGTACTAGTCCGTCGACGGGTGACGTCGGCAGGGCAAACCTGCCACCAGTGCCAGCGGTAACAAAAGAAGCCGGCGCGACGCCAGCCCCCTTCACTTGGCCCTCGTACTTCCGACCGTGGGACCGCGACGTGAGCAAGAAGAACGACAAGAAGCCCTAGAATGGACGTGACGTGGACTTGGTTCTCCGTCTTAACGACCTTAACAACCAGCGCAATATATATGAACGTGTTTCGCGTTATCTTCATAGTTACACAAAGACGTCGCATACGTAGAGACTAGCAATCTCCTTCTTCTTCATTCGCTCGCCGGACAGCGCAATGGACACTATATAAGACTCAACGTGCAAAGAGCGATGCAAATGCTTTTTCAAACGATGCCATGCCACAACACCGCGCTCTGTACGCTCGACGCCAGCATAGAGATCCAACGGGCTGGCCACGCTGCTGGATAGGCCGTCGTACTCGGTGCGGATGCCACGTCATCAACGGGTGTAACCGGATGTTTCGCCTCTGATTGGACAAAATGAGCTTCAATTCAACCAATCCAGCAGACCATAGCGTCGTTTGCGTCCGAATATTGCACGAACTCAGCAATCATGATGATGGCAGAGGTGGCAGGCCGCGGCCTGCGCGGCTGCATGCTACTGCTGCTGCTTGCGATCGCTGCGACGCAGGGCGTGATGCACTGGACCGAGAAGCAGCATCTCCAGGACAAGGCCAAGGAGATGTTCTTCCACGGCTACGACGCCTACATGACGCACGCGTTTCCGTGGGACGAGCTCAAGCCGCTGAGCTGCCAAGGCCGGCGCTGGGACCGCCGAGAACGTGGCGACTTGGACGACGCGCTTGGCGGCTTTGCGCTCACGGTATACGTCGCCCTTGCATGTCCTCTCACCGCAGCGGCTGTAGCTCATCGACTCGCTCTCGATGCTCGCCATCGTCGACCGCGACCGCTTCGTCGAAGGAGTCCAGCACGTCATCGAGAGCGTAGGCTGCGCATACACCTTGCGTGCTCATGGCGTCTAGGTCTCGTTCGATCGCGACGTGACCATCTCGGTCTTCGAGACGACGATCCGCATCATCGGCGGCCTCCTCTCGGCCCATATGCTCGCGTCGCCAGCGTCTCTCTCGACCTCCGAGTTGCTTTCATTCTAACGATGACGTACGTAGGCATGTCGGCCTCATGCCGGTTGGCTACAATGACGAGCTTCTTGGCTTGGCCGTCGACGTCGGGCAGCGGCTCCTGCCTGCCTTCGACACACCGACGGGCATTCCCCGCCACCGCATCAACCTCAAGGTACGACACCATCTTCCTTTTACAAGACGACATTCCTCCAACAAACGCAATATATAGTACGGCGTACCCCGTGGCACGACCGCCGAGACGTGTCCCGCGGCCGCGGGCTCGCTCCTCCTCGAGATGTCGCTGCTGTCGCGGTCGGCTGCACGTGGATATGACGGGGTTTTGACAAGAAATCGTAGGCTCTCGGGCATTTCGACCTTCGAAAAATGCGCCAAGAACGCAGTCTTGGAGCTCTGGGAGCGGCGCTCGGAGCTCCACTTGCTTGGGAGCACGATCAACGTCGAGACGGGCAGCTGGGTGCACACGCACACTGGGATTGGCGCGGGTCTCGACTCGTTTTACGAGTACCTCATGAAGTACTATGTCCTCTCGGGCGACACGGACTGGTTCCACATGTTCAACCAGAGCTACACAAGCATTGAAGCGCACATGCTGCACGACGACGGGTACCACTTTGAGGTCGACATGAACTTTGGCAAGGACGTACTGCGCTCGCGGCGGGTCTCGGCGCTGCAAGCGTTCTGGCCGGGCCTCCAAGTGCTCGCGGGCGATGTGCGCGGTGCGATCCAGTCGCACGCCCGCCTCTTTGACCTCTGGAACCAATTTGGTAGACAACTATTTCCACAACATTTGAGAGGATACATTATACATCTAGGCGCGCTGCCCGAGCTCTACGACATGGCGGGCGACGGTGAGCTCATTCGGTGGGGCCGCCATTACCCGCTGCGCCCCGAGCTCGCCGAGAGCACGTACCACTTGTACATGGCAACGAAGGACGAAAAGTACCTCAAGGTCGGGCGCAAACTGCTCCACGACATCGAAGAGACGTCGCGCGTCGCATGCGGCTACGCTGCCGTAGGTCCCGTTGCGCTTTGGTTTGAAAAATGTGAAAAAAACACAGGTCGCCAACGTGCAAGACAAGTCGCTTGAAGACCGCATGGACAGCTTCTTCTTGAGCGAGACGGTCAAGTACCTCTACCTCCTCTTCAGCAACGAATCGAGCGTGATCGTGCCAAGCCACGATACGACGCCGTATGCATCCTATACCAACATGTCGGTCGCCGTGCCCTCGTCCAAGGTCGCATTTTATCTTCATTTTGGGTGAAAATGGGGCCAAATCGGCTGACGACAACTGTGTGCGTAGGTGGTCTTTACAACGGAGGGCCACCTCTTCTTTGTGATGCCCCACCTCTTTCAAGACGCCGCGTCGCTCACCCAAAAGCAAAAGCATGCACCAACGTTCCGGACGTGCCGACCGTCGCGCCGGGCCCCGAAGATCGCCGCCAAGGTACATTGGCGGCTTTGCCCAGCACGTTTTACATGGTATCTCTAGCGGGCAGTCGACGCCCAGGCAGCCGTCTCGGTGCGTGTCGGCGACCATCATCTCATGACGTTTCCGGCGGCCCCAGCTCAGTTTGGCCACTCGCTGCAGGTCCAATTTCTCTCTCGCAATTAAAGGTCACAGGATGTCGATAGCTGGACGGCCACTTGGATGGATCTGTCTTTTTGTCCTTGGACGCGGTGGAGTATGCCTGCCACGACCTCTCGTCGCTCGTACCCCAACCACCTTCTCGAGGTTCAACCTAAGAACTGGACTCTGTAGGCCGAGTCGCTGCGAGGCAAGATCGTCGTTGTCAAGCGTGGCCAATGCTCGTTTACTCGGAAAGCACTGCACGTGCAAGCCGCGGGTGGCATTGGCATGATTGCCGTCAACACCAAGGTCGAGCGCAAGGCGACCAAGTGGCAGCGCTTGTACAGCCTTTCGGTGCGTCTTGCATGGCAACGACCGACCACCAAGTTGGTCACGTAGGACGACGGCGCCGGCGCCCGCGTTCGCATTCCGGTCGTCATGATCTCAAGCCGCGATGCGATGCTATTGCACGATGAAATGGCCTTGCTCGGCGTGCTCCCTAGCAACATGACGCTCTCCCTCGCGAC